TGGATAGGGCGCTATGGCCCTCGCAGGTGGCCAGCTCGATCGCCCGACCTCACTCCTCTAGACTTCTTTTTATGGGGCTTTATTAAAAATGAAGTGTACTCAAAGATCTCCGAAACCGAAGATGAACTGCGCAATCGTATTGTTGCCGCCTTTAACAAATTAAAAGCCCTGGCTCTGGATCCCGAACGAAATTTGTTGAGCAGGCTTCAGGACAACATTATGCAGCGATGTAACTTGTGCATTCAAGAACGTGGCGGACATTTTGAAAATTTTAAAATTTAGGGTTTCATTAAATTTTGCTACTAATATGCAATAATATTTATTTCGTTCAGTTCCATTTTCGCGAAATAAAAAAAGGCGGTAAAATATCTAAACAGTTTAGTGAGTAAGTTTTTATTTCGTCGCACATTGTCCAACGAACCATAGGCCGTGCCGACAATCGCCATGCCACCCGCGTGCAACGTTGTCACTCTTCCAAGGGGTCAAGGTACGTTGTCTAAACAGAGTGTTCACTTTTACTGAATTTATTTTAATATTTATTTTGTTTGAAAATTTCACTTTTTTATTTTACGGGTTTTAATTTAATATTTAATTTTTCTACACTTCTACGGACTAGTATTACTTGTGGTTTCATTTATTGCATATATGTGGGACCCCATTCTGTATAATATAGTATAGGTGTCATTGACAATTTTTACCAGATTTTTACCAGATTAAGATTAGAGATACAGACAATTTTGATTAGATTTGTGCTTCCGGATCTCCAGTAATCTTTGCTCGCATATTTTCTAATCTAATCTAATGATAATTTGTCAATACGATCCCAAAACGTCAAACATGCGAGTTTTGAATAACCTTTTCTAACTAACCTAACCTTGTTTGTCGAAAATCTCTGGATAATAATAGTAAAATTCCTCCCATAAATTTTTTATTTTTCCGGATATCCTGTAATGTTCTATTTAATGCTTCAAGCGATTTTCTATGAGTCATTGTACTTTCATCTCATATTATAAATGTACATCGCATCAAAACCTGGCCACGCATAGATCTTGAAACATTACAGACTGGAAATTCTTGTTGGGCTATATTTAAAGGCAAACTAATAAAACACAAATACTCAAGCAGGCATCATAGGAAAAGAAGCACACTTACCGGGGTGTGACTTCGATGCGGCTTGGACGCTGCGGTGCTACTTCTGGCGGATCTCCTGGGGCCCCCGGGATGCGGTCCTGGTCGGTGGTGCGATGGAAGAGGGCGCACGAGGGCCGTGCGCGCACTTATATTACTTCGGTCCTTTTCTCAATGCGTCTCAGGGGGGCGCGGTTCTCATTGGTTGCGAGAATCACGCGACATTCTAGAATTATCTTCTTTCCCCTCACCCCACCACCCCGGTGTGTCGGAGGAACGATAGGTGAAGGAAAGGACAACGCTTGACAAGCCTACCTTCGTATAAAATTAAAAATACGAATGGTTTTCCGCGCAAAAATACTGCTAACAATGTAACTCATTATTTTTAATATAATATAATATATCTCAAAATTGTAATAATATATCTTAGAATTAGTCAAAAGGTTGTCCTGACCGAAAGTTGTTAGTAAGCCTAACCTTTTTTATGGTTCCGTACCTCAAAGGGAAAAACGCTTTCCGAGTTTATATATATATATATATATATATATATATATATATATATATATATATAAACGGAAATGTCAACATTTTTGTTTATTTAGTTAAACCAGTGCGCTAAACCAGTTAATATGGTTTGTCTACTCTGTGTTATTATTTTGGTGATCATATTCGGGAAATAGTTTCTCTCCTACAAAACTGCTCATTGTTTTGTGAACTAGGAAGTCACTTGTACATCGTCGTATGTCCACACTCTCCATATTTTTTTATGAATTACTCTGAAAGGTAATTTTTTTGATATACATCAGCTAATGTGCGAAAAATTTACCTTAACCCTTAAATTCGCGATTTTTTATTTTTTAACGGAAAAAATGTAAATGATATCTATAAACTCTCTAAAATACGGAAAAAATATTAAAAATATTGCAAATAAGTTAGGCCCCAAAATTAAAAAAATTGTTTATTGCATATCTGTAACATTGCGCGTTCACCAAGTATCCCAACGTATGGGAACTATAGCTTCAGTCAGATCAAATAAAAATGTGAAATTTATAAAAACAGTTATTTCCTTTATTATAACATAGACTCAACTTACATTTTTCGTATTTAGTTCAGTCACCAAATATTTGCCATTGCCCTGTGCAATCTCGTCGAATATCTTTCGGTGGCACTGGTTGTGTTAACCTCCTCTTCTTCTTCATCCGAAGCTACGTTTCTAAGGAAAGAGAGCTTGGCTGCCTTGGCTTCACCTTGACATATTTACTGACTACCAAGATTGCACACGGCTTGGCTTGGCTTATTCAAGCCTAAAGTTATACAAATTTAGTAATTCTGGTTACATCATTTGGTCATAACTAGTCGTGGTACCGACTGGTAATGCTCCAGCGTAAGACGATAGCAAAGTCACTGGTTTATTGTCTTTCCAGACTAACGCACTCAAATCAACTACATCTATGTTTACCACTGTTTCCACAAAGTGGCCTCGAGGGATGTTCTTCTCCATAATGGTTTTTTATCAGGCAGTTTTTTTATTGTTACTTTTTTTACTGTTTTTTATTCTTACCGTATTCCTACCTTTGATAAATAAATTTCTAAAGGAATAGATGTATAATATTAGTCGAAATAAATGATATGGTTAGCATGCCTAGGAACAATCCTTGCCAATATAACCACCACGTTGCCTGTAGCCCCCAAATCCGATTCACCAGAAAGTAACTTGAGCTTTTCGAAACCACTATATACTTCAAATTTGTGTGCAAAACCATAAATGCTACAAATTAAAGATAATTTGAAGCTCCATTTGTGGGGTTTATTTGATAAATACTGCTTTATGTAATGACTCATTTTGATAGCATACATTTGCTGACATCAATAGAAACCCGTTGTTCTAAAGGAACTATCTCAAATCTGTCACTAAGGACATCTAACAAAGGCCGAAATCTTGAAGCAAATCCAAATGATTCCTCTAATGCCTCTCTTCATCCAGTTCTTCTTCATCAGATGTTTCTATGCCATCTTCTGAGTCATCAAAGTACTCAAGTATGCTTCTATGTGTCGATCTGATAGCCGCATCGACGTACTTAACAACAAACAAACAAAACAGTTACTAATTAGATTTAATACTGAAAGAAAATCGATAAACTTTATTCTCAATAACTCTTTGAAACATGTATGAATGCGCAATGTTGCATATACGCAACAAATTTAATTTACTTCATATTTGCAGATTTTTATATTTTTTTGAAATACTGATATAAATCCTTTTTACAGCAACATATACACTATCAAATTGTAATAAATTAATTTCAACTTACCTTGGAAAACTTTGAGAAATAACAAAAAGTAATTGGAGAATAATCACTGTTTTTGGCGTCCACGAAAACCCACAGTAAACTGCATGGGCGTGCAACTTAGAACATTATTTTGAGAACAAAATGATATTTTTTGTGCTGCCATCTACATTCCAAAGCACTGGACTAAATTATCTCTTTGGGCCGTTACCCAAAGGACCTCAAGGTGAAAGGTGGATTTTGATAGTGGAGGACACTGCTAGTAAGTGGGTTGAACTGTTCGCTCTAACCGAGGCCACAGCCGAAACCTGTGCAAAAAGTCTTGTTAGTGAAATCTTTATGAGGTTTGGACTTCCTAGGCGGATGATCTCCGATAACGGTGTCCAGTTTGTGGCCGGTGTTTTGCAGAAGGCCCTGTTTTTCTTAGGTGTGAAACAATCCGGTGCTTTTGTATCACCCGAAAGCGAATCCGGTTGAACGAAAGAATCGGGACCTTAAAGCTCACCTCGCCATTCTCGTTGAGGGTAACCACAAGCAATGGTCTGAGGTATTGCCTTTCATCCAAATTGCTCTTAATAGCTCAGTCACCGTGTCTACAGGCACCACTCCGGCTTTCTTGACTTTTGGACGTGAGCTCCGTTCTCCTTTGTCGGTTCAGGCTGATCTACGGGCGGTATCGAGTGGGAAAACTTACTCTCCCTCGAAAGCTAAGGAGAACATTGAACAAAAGGATCTTGGGAAGCTCCAAGCTGATCTCCGATCGTGTCGTGATCTGGATCCTATTAGCAGAAGGTGATCTCGTACTCATGAAGTAACATGTCCTGAGTAATGCTGCGAAGGGTGTCACTTCTAAATTCATCCCGAAGCAGGATGGCCCGTATGTGATCTCCAAAAAGATGAGTCCTACTACCTACCTCCTAACTTCGCAGAAGACTGGTGAAGTCGTTGGTAAGTATCATGTGTCGGATCTGCGTAAATACTATGACAGGGGTGGTGAAGAATGTCCGGATCCAGTTGCTCCTAAGCGTTGCAGGGACGTCCTCGTAAGGATTGCTGCTAGGCGCTATTAGTTTGACCATTCGTGATGTTCCCTCTTGGTCAAAAGGGGCAGTATGCAACGCGCCGATACTTACCTATGTCACCCGATGCCTAGCTATCCCCTCTCGTACGATACCCCGCCTGCGCCGCGGGATCACGTCACCTGCCACGCCTTAACCAATAAATAAATAAGCCTTTTTACACAAAAAAAAATTGTCCATGGTAGAACATCTACTTTAACCAAGGCAAACGTCACACTTAAAAACTCCGAATCCTAGATAGTCAGAGCACTCATCGTGCCACCAAGCACCACACTGACTACATTGGATCCAGTCTTCATCTGGAGGTTCTACGTAGACTTCGGCACAAAGGGGGCATCGAACAACTTCTGTACCCGTACATGTTTCCAGCAGTGTCGGTCTATTTGGTGTCGTAGATTTATTTTTATTTGATGTCTTCTTTGTCTTCTTGGCCTTTTCTTCTTTTTCTTTTTGTTCTGCTTCTATTTGATTCTTATAAGGAGAACTGGTAAGGATTTCTGATTTCTTACGTTTTATGTTTCTTTTTTTTCTGAATGTTTGACTTTGGTAATGGTAAGATGTCTTCTGGTCTAAGAAAAGATGATTTGGATGGTGTTGGCTCGTCATTTTCTGGTGTTGTTATTACTTCCTGGTGATTCTCGGTTGATTCAAGGGTTTCGGTTCCTCCGAGTTGAGACAATGCTATATCTGGAGCTGAAATATTAATATTGACGGGTATAGGTGATGAGACAACTTGGGTAACAGTTTCTGTAGTTGTAAGTGGCAATTCAACAGCTAGATTTGAACTATTAAGGGCTTCGCCTGTACTTGAAGTTTCTGCAGTTGGATTGGGACGGTCAGTGACATTTGCAGGAGCAAAATTTTCATCGGAAAAAGTCTGATCGTTAAAAAGGCCAGATGCCACAAGATTCGAATGATTTTTTAGCTCTATCAATTGAACCAACCTTAAGGTATGCAGTGCCAAATAGTCGAGCAACTTGATATTGAGTTATAGCACGACCTGGATTTGAAACTTGCCAATTGTCACATGCAACTGCATAAGCTTTTTTTAATGGTCCAAAAATCCTGTATCCAAACTCTGCGTGCGATGGCTTGTGTGTGGTGCTAAGCTCAAAAGAACAACTCTATGATCCCTAGCTAATTCAATAGCCTGTAAACTTAAATGAGATGAATGATTATCTAAAATCAAAAGAGCAGGTTCATCTTTAGATGGCTTGACCATCTTAATGAAATGATTGAGCCAGATTATAAAAAGATCTGAGTTCATATAACCAGAATCGGATACAAGCTGTAGGGAGTCCTCTGGAGCTCCATACATCAATTCCGGTTTTTGCAGCTTTCTAGGAAAAAATAATGCAGGTGGTACGAATATTCCAGTAGCACCCATACAGCAAACAGCCGTTACTGTTTGTCCACGTTCTGCGGACACAACTTTTCCTACAATTTTCTTGCCTTTTTTAGCATAAACTTTAGGTAACTTGTTTGGCACTGTCTGGAGGCCAGTTTCATCCATGTTGAAAATTTGTCGGCCAACAAATTTTAAGGTTGTAAGTACTTGTTTTAAATTATCATAAAATCGTTGCACTTGTACACGATTGAATCCTGCAGTACGTGCCAAACTTGTTTTTTCAGGTTGACGGAGACTGAAGTTATGCCGCCTGGCAAAGTTTTCGACCCATTTCTTGCTAGCTTCCTTTTTATCATTATTAAATCAGTAATTAAGACCGTTTTTATTTGCTAAATCATAAGCGACTCTTCCTAGCTCCTTCTTCGTCAGACCATAAAAACATGAATCCAAGCGTCGGCAGTGCTCTGCCAAGTTACTGTTTAATTCAGGAGTAAATACATTTGAAAATCTACCTAATGTCGCCTCTACACGTTGGCCAACACAGTGGCGAATGGAGTGGCGAATATATTAGCCGAGAGTTGGTGACGGCGTCCACACGTTGGAAGGTCGTTCAGTTTACTTCGGTTCGGGCCAATGTGCGGACGAATTTATTTTATTTAGACGACGGCTCCGTGGCGCAGTGGCTTGGCAATGAGTGGCTGTGCCAGGGGTCACGAGTTTGAATCCCGCACGGAACAAGTATTTATATCCTACAAATAATTGTTTCGGGTCTGGATGTGTGTCCTTGTGCAATTTATGTTTGTAAGTTGCCTCCGCGATACAGGAGAAAATCCAAGTGTGGGGGGTAACATTTTTATAAAATAATTATAAAAGAATAGTGAATATTATTGGGGCTGTAAATAGATATACGATATACGATTAGCTTTATTTATTCTTTACATGCATCAGAAACTGGAATAAATACCATTAATTAGAACTTAACTTATTTTAAAGTTAAAGGAGTTATAATCGATTACTCTATGTTTTAAAATTGGGTTTTGTTTTAAGTTTAGCAAAACATGTACTTGCTTTTCTATCAGAAATTTGATGTATATAAAAACACTTTATAATTTATTTGGTAATTTAATTATTTTTTGAAAAAGACAAAAACTTAATAATAGGTACTAATTATAACTTAGAACATAAATGAAAAACTCATGACAAGGAAAGTGGCTCAGGACCATGCTTTGCGGCATTCTTTGGACGAGGATGTTCAGTAGTGGACTTGTGAAGAGCTGTAATGATGATGATGATTCGAAAACTTGCACGATTAAATTATAAGAAATCGACGCTTTTTATATAGGATAGGGTGACAAACGAGCACACAGTTCACCTGATGGTAAGTGGTTGCTGTGGCCCACAGACATCTACATCTATCCTCGAGTACGAATCAAAATGCAGATGCGTTGTCACCCGTGAGGGCTAAGATGAAATGTCTCGTTTCCTTTAAAAAGTGTCTCTGGTTCTCTACATTCACTATACGAAACACAGGATCATTAAGCTAATATTTTACATTGATATTCTGTGAGAGCGTAGTCCTTCCCCGGTCGAACCGACCCATTCGTGCTACAACTATAAGTACTTTTAATATAACTGCATGGTTCTACCACGTATAAACGACGTGCTTCATATTTTTTTTCATTTTAAAATTGTTCTCGTAATAATCTGATTGTAAATAAATGTTCATTATTTTTTTTTATAAATAGCTAAACGATTAAAACAAATGTTTAAAAATAATTAAATCGCGCTAATTAAAGTAGTAGGAATGTTTAAAGTTGAAATTGGCATTAAAAGGCTGGTAATTGGGTCATCCACCCTACAAAGCGTGATATAAAATTTTAATCAGATGCGTGTAATCACTCTGGGAGCTTGTAGCAAACTAAACTCGTGGCCAACGTGTGGACGCGGCGACCAAACTCTGCCAACAATCCTTTGATCTTTTGTAAAAAAACCGACACCACACGGATCTCGCGCCAACTTGCGGGCCATCGTTCCAATACATACCAATGAAGCCCAAACACCCCGTCTACACGTTGGCCAATGCTATTGGCCACTATATTCGCCACTGTGTTGGCCAACGTGTAGAGGCGCCGTAAACAGGAACAGTGCCTGCTTTTAGTCTTTTTCTTAGAGTCGATTCTGGGACATTCAAAGACTCTTGCAACTGATCTTTGACTTTGCCCACGGCGTATTCTTTCCTTTGCATCCTTTAAAATTTCTTCAGTAAATACCAATTTTCTATCTGATTTTCTTTTATAACTTGACATATTTGCGATCTATAAAAAAACAAAAGATAAGTAATTAAAAAAGCTACTTTGTTCCCCATGAGTTACTACCTAAGAGTGCGCATGCGCACTCTTTAGGTGCGCACTCTTAAGATTCACGCTAATTCGGTTGGCTATGACAGTTACAATCATTCTAACAAGATCGCATTTATAACCTTACTTAATAACCAAATTTCAAGAATAACTCACATATTCAGGTGGCACCCTTATGCAAATCTTGTAATACGTCTTCGAAATTGTTGATAAATAATATTAAAAGTACTCAAAACCTTTAAATTGCAATAATCAAACTAATAAATACCGCACCAACTTGAAAGCGTGTGTACTGATTCCAAGCGTCACTGCCGACCATAGATAAATAAATATGTAGCAAGCTACTACCGACAGTCAGCGCAGTGCTGCCAAGTGTTGAAATTTCGTAGCATTTAAAAGCTGTGCGTACTCTTTGGTAGTGCGTACTCTTTGGTGTCTTTACCCTACTTGTATTTATAAAGGTCGGTGGCTGTTTAAGATTTGGGGCAGTTGACGTACCAGCAGCAGATTACGTAGCATCGAGAAATTTTGTAACTATGTTCGAATTAGAGAAGGGACAGACTGGTCCTACGTATGCAACGTATGCGATGCAACGCTCATACGTTGATGTACAAATGGTGCAATTTGAAATTACAATTTACCACGGGTGAAGAAAAACATCGCGAGAGAACCTGCATATCTGAGAAGTTAAAATAAATATTTCGGAAATCATTTTTAAGTTTAGATATGTGCGTTTAGTTGGTCATCCCACGTTGGAGTCGGCTCCTATTTGTCCTAAAACTCGCTGCGTCTTGTGCTCAGTAGTGGGATGTATCTAGACTGCTACTTTTTTACTTTTAATAGTGATATCCACTGCTGATGACCGGATATTTGCAGTAGTATTCACGCTTGGCAAGCGGGTTGGCAACCGCAGCTTTTTATTACTTTGCACGGGAAGATGCTGCCACCCATCTCCTGTTTCAGTTCTCCACTGTCACCTCTGGAGGAAATGGGATATTGGTTGTTTTTCGGCGCTGCTACATGCATAATATATTTCTACTGCCGTTCATTAATCGGATATTTACCGTAGTCTCCACGCTTGGCATGCGACTTGCCAACCACATATTTTTATTATTTTGAGATATGATGAGGAAGACACTGCTGCCCATCTTCTGTACATTTCTACTCCCGTTCATGAATATAATTCTTCTCAACGTTCACCGTGAATACAATTATGAAATTTTGAAGTCTACTCGAACGTGTAAAAATACTGGCATGTATTTTATGGTGCCAAACAATATTCAATGGGGTCAATATTAATAAATATCATTGAATTCAACATTATTTTGTCATAACTATATCCACTTTAATTATGAATAATATGTAAATAACGCATTTCTGATACCAGGGCAATTTTCCCTTCATAGAGACACACCGGAAGACATAATAATAATAATAATAAATAATAAATTTATTTATTTACCAGAAAACACGTAGCCAAAATACAATAAGTTCTGTGACTCCCACACTAGGCATGGCCTGTCTCGTGGGGGTCAAGCAAAAGATTTTACAATTGATCAAAGTGGCTATTTGTCGAAATTACGTAAAACAATTATGTGCAGCAAAGCAAAAATGACTTAAAAATTTATGAAAAATTACAGACATAACAAACAGATTCTAATTAAAAGGGGCGCGCGTGTACTTGTGGGTGAATGTGTATGAATGTGTGTGTGTGTGTGTGTGTGTGTGTGTGTGTGTGTGTGTGCGTGTGCGTGTGCGTGTCTCGTGTGCGTGAGCGTATGCTAGCATGCCTGTTACATAATTCTCTAAAAATTATAAGTAAAAGGGTGAGAGATTTTAATTGGAGATAAGCTGAGTGGTTAGGTAGCCCTACGATTAAATTCTTGGGATCGGACACAGGGCGTGCGTCAGTGCAGTCCACTACCGTTTTAACACCTATTTAAGGGTCACCAATATTTCTTCTGATTTCTCATAGTCCCAAGTCAATAAATGACCTCTCATTTATATTTTAGCCTCATAAAGTTGGGATCGTTTTAAGTCGTATAAGTTGACTAATTTGTTGTAGATGCGAGGGGATTGGAACAGTCTGAAATGACGAAAGATGTTTTAACTAAGGTTGTGGGGATCTTAAACACTCTTTTATTTATTAATGTATTAAACGTCGGCAGTTTTGAAGCTTCCTTGTGCATAAATGTAAAGGCCCACTCAGAGAGACACTAATCTACGGACACTTAAAACTTGAGCTTCTCTAAAGAGATCTGACGTATGATAGCGCCTTGGTTTACCCATAGCTACCTTCAAAACTGCCCTCTGGGCCCTTTCCAGTACTATCAACGTAGAGGAGGATATACCACCCCACGCCAGTATACAATAGCTAAGTACGGACTGACATAGTGCAAGGTAGACGGACTTTAAAATGCTGCCATCAGTAGAATCTCTCAATAGTCTCATCGTGTGTATCAGCTTACGGACCCTGGCTGATGTCACCGATATATGACTTTTAAAGTTAAGATTTTCATCTATTATAATTCCTAAATATTTAAGGGAGCCGACCCTATTTATCTGGTCACAGTTACAATTTGGAGAGCTCACGGAGCGAAAACTACAGTTGTCGTTGTGTACTTTAAGGCTATTGAAAAGTGAGGGTGGCGGTTCAGACGCTGCAGTTTTATGAAAACAAATTAACTGCATTTTTGAGGTGTTCAGTGTTAAGATGTTGTTATTTAACCATTTTTGTAATTTATACAACCCGGAGATGGCTGAAAAATAGGCGTCGTACCAAGATTTACCATAGAATATTATGGCTGT